TTGAGTGCTCCCTCATAGTTCCACTCTTATATATATGTGGAGAACTCAACGGCCATTGAGTCTCCTTCTCTCGTTTTCTTTTGAACCACACAAAAAGACACAACTTTTAGTTGTGACCTCTCCATTTATCATCACTCAAATCCTTTTGAACTCAACACATAATTCCTTCTTCCAAACAGACGTGAGGTGCGCTCTCTTTCACTGTACTTATGACTTTGTCTATTCTAATGCAGATATGCCTAAGTACAGAGGAAGATAGTGCAGATCAGGTCATTTCCACAACATTTATTTCTCATCACAATAATCATTCATATGGGCAAGTCCACAACTGAGAGTGAGCGTGACACACCACACAAAGAAGAAAGAAGTCTGAGATTCGCACAAATACACAGAACGCGGGAACCTTGCAAATAAGCAAAGGTTCCAGTCCATATCGAAAGGATCAAAATATCGTACAAAAGAAATCAAATATCATACAAAGTACCGAGGTATCGTACCAAGTGTCACAGTATCCAACCGAAGATCAAGGTACCTAAAAAAAATAAAAATCTCCAAGAAAGTCAAAAAGTAAAAGAGAGCCAGAGTATCCACACCTCACATCACTCACACACTGTCTGACTCACCCTGCTCTGAAAGAGAAAGAATCATAAACTCACACAAAAACACTACCTAGAAACACTCCACACCACACAAAAAAAGAGAAAGGAAAACCGAAGTAGTCAGTGTCACACTCAATACTTTCCTATGTACGCTAGGTCTGAAAGTCTATATGCGAAAGTAAACATCTTTGTAATGACTCAATTAACTGATGTACATGGGCGTGATCCAATCCTCCATGTGTTCTCCTATATACAGTCATCCATCAGTAGTGAGTCAGAGATGTTCTGCATATGTCAGAATCTAGACTTTTCCGGACCCTATTCGTAAATTCTACTCCTGATCACTCATGTCCTCCTGCAGTTGCCTATACAACTGCGCTCGTATCCCATCACGAGTCTTCAGGATCAGTTTCCCATTTCTGTCCCTGCGTACGCCAGATGGGTCCTATGAAAACAAACCATCGGCCTCATCCTTGAGGCTTTTGGGACAGGTCTCCTGTGGGTGCTTGCCTCTTTTGCAGTAGAAGCATCTTCCAAACTTTTTCTGCTCCATCTTGTCAGCTGCATGGGAGGGTACAGATGAGGGGGCTGCTGTGGCCTCGTTGGTGACCTCCTGCTGTGGGTGCTCTGGGGGAATGGGGCATGCTGCTCTGTCATCTGTTTGGGCCATCTGCTCACTCACTCGCTCCTCTGCCCCG